ACGCGGTTGGGGGTTGGTGCGGGTGTGGTGTTTTGTAATGCCCCCATAACCCCCCCCCCCCCCCCACCCCCACACCCGCTGCACGAACATGCGAAAATATACGATTTCCCATAGGAATGGCACGATTTTGTTTCTTGGACCTCTTGGGGTGCCTCTCGGAACGTCTTGGGCTGATTTTGGAAGCCTTTTGGCGCCTCTGGGTGGCGTTTTGGCGCCTCCTGGGATATGTTGGGCCGGAAGCTCGGAATTCGAGAGTGGCTTTCTCCTTCTGGGACCCCTCTCGAAGTCGTCTTGGGGTTCTCTTAGGCCGTCTTGGGGGCCCGTGGGCCACTCGTGCGCAGCCTTGGAGCGCTCCCGGAGGCCTCGTAGACCGTCTTGGGCGCCTCTTGGGCCGTCTTGGACGCGGTGAAAGCCCAAGAGGCAAACATGCGAAAAATATACGTTTTCCCATAGGAATGACACGATTTTTGCTTCTTGGGCCTCTCTTGGGCTGCCTCTCGGAGCGTCTTGGAGGCTTCTGGGACCTTCTTGGTGTCATGACAGGCGTCTTGGAAGGCATCTAGAGCCATCGGAGCGCGTTCCGAAGCCGCCTGCGAACGATTTTGGACGGCGTCCGGCGGTCCGACGAGCCTCCGGGCCCCCCGGGGCCCACATTTGTGGTCGAGGTCCCGGCCCCGGGCCCCCCCGGACCCGGTGCGCCGTTATATGTATATGTATGGATGTTGAGGTATATGCATGACTATATAGTGTAACATCTCTCGTGTCAGCTATGTGGTGCAATCTAATGTGAGGCAAGCTACTTGGTGAAATCTACGTGGGACACGTCAACGTAATGCAGCGCAGTGAGAACAATGCACAACAATGTAAGCCAATGCAAAACAACGCAAGGCAATGCAAACCGTCGGCCGCGATGGGCGGCGACGGGCGACGACAAGCCGGTCGGACCGTCGCGCAGGTCTTTTCCTTAGAATGAAAATAGAGAAGTAAAACACAATGAATAGAGGGACGGAAAACATTCTAAGTGCAAGCGCTGTTTGGGGCACTGGCTGAATGAGGAAGAGGAGGAGACGGTGTGAACGAGGGAAGTTGGAAGGAGGAAGAAATGGAGGAAGGGAGGATTGGGAGGAGAAGAGTCATGAGGATGAGCATTAATGATGATGAAGATGATGGTGATGAGGATTCATATTATTGTGCTGATCGTAATGTTGATGTCGATGGTGCTAGTGATTATGACGATGATGTTTCTGATGGCGATGACGATGCTGCTCCTTCTGCTGATGATGTCCGAGACCCGAAGTCCTTCACATCACTAATTTTGGGTCTCGGAGCCCACAGGGCGGTTTTTCATGTTTTCCATTCGACGTTCCATGAAGCCCGATGTCATTCCGAGACCGCGCGTCAAACGTTTTCGATGGCGCGTCGCGTTATGCGATGTCACGTGCGTTGGGGTCGTCAAAGGCTCGCGTGCTTGTTGCGGATCGGTTGATGTGGGCTGGGGTTTCTCAGGATTGTACATTTGCTTTGCGCTGGGGCGGTTTCGACCCCCATCCCTGGCAGATCCACCCCGCGGGTAACGTCGCAGGAAGAGTTTCAACATTGCGTTCGTAGTGCCAGCGATCGCGATGCTGTCGCGGACATTGACCGCGCCACGGGGGTGGTCGTCCAGAAATTTCCTACCATATTGCAGTGTTGGTTTTTCGTTTTGAAGAGACACCGCCCCGCGTCATTCCTTCCGGCCTCCTCCCTCGTCCTCCCTCTTCGCGTATCTGCCCCTGCTCTCCGCGTGTCCCCGTCGTCACCGTCCATCGTCATCGTCGCCATCGCCACCATCATCAGCATCATCAGCATTTTCGTCGTCTCCATCATCAATACCACCACCATCCTCATCAACATTATCAAAACACCCCCCTTGTTCCCCCGCGTCTCTGCTTCGCCACATCCCCCGCAAGTCTCGTGGCCTTGTGAGGTGCTCCACCGAAAGGCCCCATCGGCAGGGTCCTTAGTGCGCCGCCCAGCCCATGTCGGCACGCCCCTCAGACGCTTCGTGTCCCCATGAGGAGCTCATCGGAGGTCCCGGCGGCAAGGTCCACATGCCGTCGCCCAGGCCACATCGACACACCCTCATACATTTCGTGCCCCCATAGGCAGCTCCACCAAAAAAAGGTCCCAGCGGCAGGTTTCCCAGGCCGCCGCCCAGCATATTTCGGCATACGTTTCACACGCTTCGTGGCCCCACGGGGAGCTACACCGACGGCCCCACAGGCAGGGCCCACAGGCCGCCGCCCAGCCCATTCCGTCATACGCTCACACGTTTCGTGGCCCCATTGGGGAGCACCCCCGATGGCCCAAGCGACAGGGTCCACATGCCGTCGCCCAGCCCATGTCGTCCACGAGTGGCGCCCAGCACGGCTCCAAGAGCGCCCCAAGAGGCGCCGAATAAGTTGCACCCTCATGCAAGTAGTTTTTGTCACTTGTGGTGGTCCTCTTGGGGCCCCCTTGGAGCATTCTTGGGGCCCTCTGGGAGCGTTCTTGGGGCCTTCCCGGGGCCCCAGTGGGCCCCCCGAGGGCCCCAAGAACGTTCCCCGAGGGCCCCAAGAGGGACCCCCCAAAGTGGTACAAAGAATTCGCGCGAACGTGCAATCTGTTGTAGGCCTTTCGGGGCCCTCTGGGAGCTCTCTTGGGGCCCCCTTGGTGGCGCCTTGGGGCCTTGGGGTGGCTCCAAGAGGCTTCGGGATTGCCCCAGACCGCCACAAGACAGCTCCGAGACGGC